TCATATGAGTTTTCTCGTTACAATTCTATGTCAAAACTTTAAATGCTTAATGTTTTGCAGATACAAGTAATTGCTATTCAATCGTTTCATAAAACTATTGAGTTAGGTTGTTGCTGCTATAAGGTTTTGTTAAAAACCCACATTTAAGTCTTAAACACTTCTATTTTCTGCATATGTACGCAATAAGAAGTTAATTGACAACCAAAAACCTTTAGATCCAATAATATTCATCGTAAAGCTTTTTTCATAAGGAAAAATGAAATTTTACTTGGTTTCAGGAAACAATAACTTTAAAAATTTATTTACATTGAGTTTTGGAGGAAATTTACTTTCAAATACTGGCCTGTACTAACGGATTAATTTACTCTCATATCATTTGAATTTCATATTTTATTTCTTAACCATAGTTGAACAGCTGACTTAATTTTGGGATTTACGACCACTGATATCCAACGCCATAGCCTTGTAATTTTGAACCCAATCCGAAAGTCAAGGGACTCTTGAATCAAGTATTGGGAGAAATTTGCCTTCTTGGAGGACTTTTTGATGGAAATAACCCTCATTTGCATTACATGGAAAGGAATACCACACAAACCTCCCATGATCAGCCTGATGGCAAGGGAAATCTCACCCAGGATCCGTCAACCACTGTAGACGGCAGCACTTGGGTCTGTGCAAGCCGAGTGCGGAATTCGTATCAAGCAGTTATGGCTAGGATTCGAACCCTGTTTGACTGATTGCGAACGTGCAATCCCCAGCGCCATCACGGCTCATGTATTTCTTATTAAAATCTGTTCTCTTAAACGCAATTTTTGAGGATTGTTACACCTGATATTTTCGATTAGAGTAAGTCTAAGATAAATGACCATGGATTTCTTTAAATCGAAATAAAACCTTTTTCAAATTTCATCATATGCATTTGAATGCATTCATGTACTCAAAATCGTTTGAAAAAAAAATGGAATAGGGAGAATAAAGTCTGAAAGAAAATGTTAGAATGTAAATAGCAAGTAGTAATCTCTCTTTTATGTCCAGGTGAGATGAACATAAAATACGGTAAGGAAGAAATCTTGTTGAAATATGGAAAATAACACATTTCATGCAATTGACCATGAAATGAAAAAATTACAACAAACTATAAATGATGAAATTTATCTTTGAAATTAAGACAGAAGAATCTGATAAACAAAGCCTAGTGTACAGATTCAAGCAACCCATCCACTTTCGAAGAAACATTACCACAATTTTTGTAAAGGTTTTCAATGTTTGTACATTTTTCATAGAGCCACTGTATGAACCTTACACGTGTCATGCACTTATCGTTTTTTAGTTGTGGTATTCTATTCTTCTCCACAACTAACACGTTGTTCTTCTTTAAATTCTGGGTATATAAAATAGAATAATATGTAGGGCTCTATAGAGTAAGTTATAGGGTTCTATCGCAAAATATATTAGTTCTACGGAATTAGAATATAATTTGCTTCATCTTTAAAATTTAAAAAAAGGTGGTTTCAAAATTGTAATAAAAAATCCATCTTTTTATTAACTTCCATCTTAAAATTACGAAACGAAACAAAATCAAACAAAAGCATTTACGAAGCAAAAGATTTCATAAATATACATATTTATTTGAAAGTATTAAGTATGAAGACTAATTTACTAAAATATATCGTATTTTCTTTTTTTGGTAGATACCAACTTTTATATTTTTAAGGATCCTTCAATCCTTGATATGTCGATATCTATAAGTTAAAAAAGGCCATATTTTTTCAATTTTACTTTGCTATCTCTCTTGGGCCTGAATATGAGATGGCCACTAATTTGTACTACCACACCACTAATATATTCTTCTTCTCTTTACGCGAAAAAAAAGAAAAAATATTGGACTATACTTGTGCCTTAAAGATCCAGCTGGTGAAAATAAAATATAACATACACATTGAAAACCAACAAAAATGCTTGATTCATGAAAAATATTTTACCCTTAAATAAGACAAACATTACAATTTCACATACTTTTACTGTCATGAGAAGCAATCCATTGCTTAAATTGTAAACAAATTTAACTGCTTTCTGCGAAATTGCATATGCCGCAATATACACTATCTAGCCATTAATGACCGGACACCCCTTGAACGGCAGGTGGAATCGTCCTGGCGGAATAAATACGGAACCTGTGGTGGGGGAAAGATCATTCGTAAGCAGGCGACGGCCATACGAGCATTAACAGTGAGAATGAGTGGACGGCGAGAGCTGAATGAGGCGGAAAGGTGCATGATCAAAGGCTTCCACCGATTTGGTCATTCTATACGTGCCATCTCCGACAAGTTTCAGATACCACGGTCAACAGTTGGTGACGTCGTGTTGAAATGGGAACGAGAGGGAGTGATAAAACCGCAGTCCCGACCCGGCAAGCCCAAAATAATGTCCGACAGGGATCGACGATCTCTTCGACGTGTAGTGAAGGCAAACCGACAAATGTCGTTGGACACTGTCGCTACCAACTTCCGGGCTGCATCTGGCAGTGTTGCCAGTGCACGTACCATTCGTCGGGAGCTGATTGCACAAGGATTCCATGGACGAGCAGCAGCACATAAGCCAAACATCTCTCCATCAAACGCCCGCCACCGATTTCAGTGGTGCAGAGCACGTCGCCAGTGGACAGTAGAGCAATGGAAAAGCGTTATGTGGAGTGATGAGTCACGCTACATGTTGTGGCACTCTGATGGACGGGTGTGGACCTGGCGAATGCCCGGAGAACGGTACCTACCGGAGTGCATTGTCCCCACTGTGAAGTTCGGCGGTGGAGGAATTATGGTGTGGTCCTGTTTCTCATGGTTTGGCCTTGGACCCTTGGTGTTAGTGCGTGGAACCCTGAACGCAGAAGGGTATAGAGACATCCTGGACAATTCGGCGCTTCCCACCCTGTGGCAACAGTTCGGTAATGGCCCGTTTGTGTTTCAACACGATAACGCTGCCATTCATAAAGCACATGCCATCACGGACTGGTTTGATGAAATGGGGGTGCAAGAGCTTGACTGGCCATCCCAAAGTCCCGACATCAATCCAATTGAGCATCTCTGGGATGAGTTGGAGCGCCGGTTGAGGGCCAGACCACAACGCCCCAAAACCACCACTCAACTCTTCGCCATGTTACAGGAGGAATGGCGGGCAATACCTGCCGCCGTGTACCAACACCTCGTGGATAGCCTTACTAGAAGGGTTAAATCTGTGATTCGGGCGCTTGGCGGCCCTACGCCCTACTGACTTGATACTAGCACCTCATGTATTCGAAATGAGGGGTGTCCGGTCATTAATGGCCAGATAGTGTATAAGAAGATATCGGAGATATTTAAACTAGCCATAGCTAAACTAATTTAGATTTAACCTATAATAGGTAGCTTAGGCTAAAAAATTACACTTTACATTTTCTTTATCTACCTTTTAATAAATCTAAGAATTCAAAAAAACAAATTGAAAAAAAATGTCCCCTTCTCACTGTAGCGAACTACTTAAGTATTTATTGAAATTACTTTCTGTAAACTGAAAATGTAAAACTATGGTCTTATTTTTAGAAATAAATTATGCTTTAGTTTAAATTAGTGATAAACATATAAAATTTCAAAATGCATTTCAACTTCGAAAAAACTGCATAACTCAATCTAACTCCAAAGCTAAGAAAAATTTACTAATACAATAATTGAAACTGATGTTTTGAAAAATATAATATTAAACAAAGGTTTTAATGAATTTTACTTCAAAACATGAATTTTGAAACTACAAATATCCAAACATAGATTTTGTTTTGTTCATATTATTAAGTCAAACAGTAGTTAATTAAAAGTGGCAAAGTAGCTGAAGGCATTTGAAACAAGTGGGGTTGGTGGTAAAACCATCATGTTATTGTTAGATTGTTTCGCTCTTCATTTGTTTTAAATTTATTCGAAAACAATATTAGTTTGTTTAAACCTTTCATTTACCTCTTATTCTCCATCAGTAAACTTTGATAATTGAAAAATTGCATTAGGCACTACGAAGTAAATAACTTTAATATTTGATTAAATGCGAAATATCAATACTAAGAGCATGACGATAAATTCTAAATTTTATATGTATATTTAAAGGAAAAAAAGCTAATTAAATGAAAATTGAAACATTTTGATGCTTATACAGTGAACTATCTTTAATTCTAACATGGATAACTCAAACTATCGGATACATTGAAGATATATTAATACACTTATAATTTCCTATTCAAATGATTGCATAAATTCGCTTTAAAACAGAAGATTTTATAAATAACGTAACATTCGTAATAACGTAACGTATTTAATTCACTCAAATTCTTAAAACAGTATTTAAAGTGATTTCAAATACATTGTTAAACTTTGGGGAAAAATAGAGGTATAAATAACTTTGGGTACATCATTCGTAAAATTCATTTTATTGAAAAATCAATTTTTACCGCAAAATATTATATCGTAATTCTTACAGCATTAATTTAATTAGGGTAACTAAGCAATTTCACAATAAATATTACTGTAAAAATTACGTTATAACAGATTATATGTTCCGTGACATATTTCGGTAAAAATGTGTTGAGGCAAAAACCACCAGCAACTTGAGTGGTGGTACTTTTTACCGTAACTTAATGCGGATTTCTTTGCAGTCTAGAATGTTTGCAGACAAGTGTAGAGAGCAGGAATTAAAAAATTGAGCATTTGAGTAACTATTGATTGGACTTTTGTTATATAGAAAATATTTTAATTATCAAAGAGACGATTTTAAATGTTTTTTTTAATTTCTTTTATACTACGAAATCAGACACTAGGCCGTACATTTTAAGAATAAACACAATGTATTGTAATTAGAAGTATCCGAACGCAATAAAAGCTATAGTATTGTTAAAATAATAATTATAGCTGTCAACTTTTTTCGAAGTATAATGAAGTAAGAACTATAAAAAAACAGCGAACCATGAAAAAATAAAATTTTATTTAAATGATAAATAATATTTCCGACAGAAGAAATTTTATTGTAGAAAACAAGCTACTAGCAATAATAATATATGTTTTCTTAACAGTCTACATATTAGTATACTAAAAAGACCAAAAATATCTTACATCGAAGATCTTGGAACTAAATAATAATGTATGATATTAACTACATGGCATTGATGAATTTATTTATTTGTATAAATTATTCACTAATGGAATATGATAATATTCTTTAATGTATTATGAATATGCAAGCCTCATATGTGTTTCAATAAATTTAATGTTCTTAAAAAAATATAATAATCAACCTGCTGACCTGCAGCAAACAGTAGACAGTTCAGTATAGTAAAAAAATAACTAAATCAATATATTTACAAACATTTACAAAGATTTGTAGGGAAGGTATTACACAGTAACTACTAGGGTAAATCGCACCCAGATCTTCACAAATTATTTACACAAATCTCTGCTAAGTGAAGAATAAAATCATAATAATGGCTTTATGTTTACTGGCCTGGCATGGAAATAAAAGATCTTTCGCATTCAACAATGTTTAGTTTTCTAATATCGTCCTATTCACGGGCGAGCAATTAACGTTTTCTTCAAAGTCACATATACCTGATTCAGGATTAAATAAAAGTCCTTGTTTACAATAATGGGAAAACTTTTTCCCCCTAACACAACGATAAAACACATGGCAATGCCTCGTAAAATCTGGATAAAAGCCATCTTTTTTATCTGAACAAGAAAAATAAAACTGTCCAGGAATACCATGAACATGTCTGTATGATGGAGATTTATAGTTTTCTTCATTGTTTGAGTCAAAAAGAGTGGAGTTACTCTGTTGTGGGTATTGGCATTTGTAGGTATTTTCGTATTCACATATAGATGTTTCCGAACTAAATATTTTGCCTTTTGGACAAGCGAATTTATAAGGCAGACCATCCATGCAACCAATGTAGTACCGGCATCCAGATTCAAAATCAGGTACAAATTCATTGATTTTGGACTTGCAATCAAAGACACTTTCTACTACAGATTGAGGTCTGCTGCATACTACATTTTCTGGAAGATCACACTTTTGCGTTTCCGGATTAAAGAGTAAAATACTGGGGCAGCTGTAAGTTTTTCGAATGGATCTAAAGCAAATATGAAACTTTCTACAGCCACTTTCGTAATCCGGAAAAAAACCAGTGTCTTCGTTTCTGCAAGCCTCAGCCAGATCTTGGCTTGGTGGTTTTCCCGCCAATTTATCCACCTTGTCATCATCCGTGGAAGGCTTCGATCTTTCACCGTAGGATATTGTAGTTAAACTATTTGACATGGCATTATTCGCTTCGTGAAGTGTTGGGTTATATTTTGTAACATGATGTCGCTTATTTATTGATTCGGAACTAATAGAGTTCGGTGCTTTTGATCTATCTAGCCCCGCATTTAAATCAGTAGGACTTGGAATTCTTTCGTCCTCTGAGACGGTATCGTACTCGTAGTATATTTTTGTCTTTAAATTAGGGGGTTTTGTGGTATCATCTTCACTTTGAGTAACGTAACTATACGTCTCAGTAAACAAATCATCGGGTCTGTAGACATGATAAACATCATCTGATTGCATACTTGCTCGGTTTATTGTTCGGGCACGGGCTGGTTGAGTATGAGATGTACAGCTAACATACTCCTCCCTATCACACATCATTTTTAATGCATTGAATTTTTGCTTTTCTGGACAGTATACTGGAATAGCATCTCCATTTTCACATACAAAGTATCTTTTACAGTTTGAGCTGAAATCTGCATACATACCGTCTTCCAAATATGCACAGCTGAATAAATTCTGCTGGTTATTCATCAACTTAACTTTATTATTTTTGCAAGATTCGGAATTTTCGTTCCACGCACACCTATGAGTGTTTCTTTGAAACAAGAAGTTATGAGGGCAAGCATAAGAAGATCGTTTTCCATCGACACAAAAATGAAAATTTCTACAAGATATAGGATCTTCGTACAATCCAATCTTATTTGATTCACAAATAAAATCCTCTTCTATGCTAGGTAAGTGCAATATGTCCGTGGCGCGAATTAACCTTTTTTGAACAATAAAACTTGTTGGACATTTCACATTGCTTCCAATGCACTTACCGAAATTCACATCATATAATAGACCCTGGGGACACACGTTAGTAAATCCAATTCCATTCTTACATTCATGCCACTGCGAGCAATTTGGTCCAATATATATACCGTCATCACTAGGCAAACACTGAAATGTTGCAACTGCAAATGGTGCGTTGCAATTTACAGCACCACGAACACATGCATTCGATTGCGGGTCAAATGAAAATCCTTTTTGACAACTAAAGTATTGCTTATGCCCATATGCACACGTGGCGTATCTTTGACAATCACTAGAGAATTCTGGAAACATTCCAAGGCGATTTTCACAATTATAGGAATCAAACAAACGCGGAGGAGAAGAGGAAGACAGCTTTTTCCGGCAAACAACAAAGCTGGAAGGCAGACACCTATCACTTGCAATATCGTATAAGTTTGTTCCAGAACAATAAGAAGTAGATATCCTTCTCTGTCCCAAACAAATATAAAAAGCTGAGCAACCTGTATCGTAATCTGGATGGACGCCATCGAGCAATCCATCACAATCACCGTCAATAACTGTAGTACAAACCACTAATGAAGAAGGTTGACAGTTACCATTTCTTTGATTTAAGATTGTTCCTTGGGGACAAGACCCCTGATGTGTTAACAATCCATCAAGACACATATAGAAATCTCGACAGCCTGAGTCAAAATCAGCGTGAATTCCATTGGCTTTTCCGAGACATTTATCGATTTCTGGCTTGGGACAATAGGCATCGCTTTCGCATGTAAGTGACCTGATGTCAAATAAAGTACCAGCTGGACAGTTAAAAGTTTTTAAGCCACCGGTCATGCAAAGTCCAAATATTTTGCAGTCAGCAGCGAAATCAGGATAGTACCCATCTGGTAACCCAGTACATTGAGCTGCTTCGAGTCCATGGCATCTGGTTGTCGAGCTTCTAGTACATCGGTGCTGCCTTGCATTGTAAATTGTTCCATCAGGGCAAACATATTCTGATATATTACCAGAACTGCATTGGAAATATCTTCGGCAATAACTATTGGAATCGATATAAATTCCATCTTCTTTGTCGGTGCAAGAAAGAGCTTCACAAATAACTTTTTTCTCATGCCGGCAAGTTTTAGTCCTCCAATCAAACTTGGTGGAATCAGGACACTGGAAAGATAATTTTTTTCCACCTGAAATGCAACAAAGAATTATTTTTAGCTGTATGAAAAGTGAATCAACAAATAACAAACAATGAAATAAAAATAGTCACTATGTAAATATTCACAAGAAAACAAGAAAAACTAAATTTTAAGAATTAGAATTGTGACAAATATATTAATATGCCTTAAGTATAATAAAATCTTCGCTTAACTTCAAAATAAATATTAGTGATTATATTTTATAAGAAGTCCATATATATATATATATATATATATATATATATATGTA